GATATTGCAAGAGAAGATTTGGACCCTTCTCTTCCCTCAGGACATTTCCCTTGGGGCTGACTTCCAATTTCTAACCCATTCCTTGGGCTGGTTTCCAATTTTAGCCACCAGTTTGCTGAGTTTTAAACATCTCTCATGTCCTGAAGTGACAGCCCAAGGAGTAATGGGTATCAATGGAAAGAAAGGAAATTTAGGTGAGGTATTAGGAAGAAATGTTTTACTGTGAGGCTGGTGAGACACTGGAGCAGGCTCCCCAGGGGAGTTGTGACCATGATTCTATGGTTTCCTTCCCATGCACCTAGAGGAGCTTTGAAATCCATTCAGTGAAGGCACAAGCTCATCAAGAGTTTGGCAATTGTACCTGGCAGACTGCTGGGCAGCAATTGCCAAACTACCTGGCCCAGTAGCACAAGACTTTGTTGCCCAAGCCCTCAACTTCTGGCACTCAGCATTGTGTTCTATCTCCACAGACTGGGAGCTGCAAGGTGCCAATTCCCACACAGGGAGAGAAGCAGGTGCTGGCCAAGGCTGGTCCCTCTACAAAGACCCTGGGCTCAGTGGGGCTCAGCCACCTCTGGTCTGGTGGTGTGTGAGCAGTGGGAGGTGATCCAGGCTCAGGGAGCACATTTCTAACTCAGCTCCTGCTGCCTGATGATGGATCCATGCCAAATGGACCCATCCTGGAGGTCACTGGTCTAGAGGGGCTTAGTGCTTGTTCTCTCAAGCTGTTCTGCTCTGGCCTTTGAGGAAATGCTGGCAAAGCCGTGCCATGAAAACATCTCCCTGCAGTGCCTGGGCTGTTCTGGGATCAGTAACCCAGACCCAGGATTCTGACCCTGGCCTTGCACAGGAGACTCCCTGGAAGCTGCAGGGGCAGTGGCATGTGCCAGCACTGCCCTGCTGCCCAGGGACTCTTCCCAGCAGTTCCAGGGGAGCCCAGTGGGCTCAGGCTTGCACCATGGCTTCAGTAGGGCTGAGAGAAGCAGGGGAAAGGAGCTGTACCTGAGATGTTGCAGTAAGCCACACTCCGATACTCTCGGGCCTTTAGGGGTTTAAAGGTCACCTTGATTTGGACTGAACTATTTGGCCCGATCTCTCCCTCCTGAAACAGAAAGAGACAGCAAAACATTTCTCTTCAAACTTCCCATTTCTTGTGTACAACCACAGTCCTGCAAGCCTTTATTTAGAGCATCAGTGATGAGTGAACAACACAAGGAGCCCAAGGAAACGCTCCAAACCCAGCTCAATACACCACTGGAAGCTCTCAATGCTCAGCTGATCAGCTCCCACTCTCCACAACATTCCCACTGCTCTGACACAAGCTGTTGGTCACATCATGCTGCTGTCAGCTGCAGTATGTAACTGCCTCTGTGCACTGGTGCACTTGGCAAGAAGAGAACATGATCCCCTTCCCTGGAAATAAAAATATTAGTTTAACCTGTTTGGAAAGAAAGCAGGGGTTGGGATTATTCTGGGGTTTACTCCAAGATGAGAAGGGATTTTGCACTGTGCAGACACCAGGCATTCATCATCTCTCACAATGCCAATCCTCAGAATCAGGGCTCTGGTTGATGGGAGAACGTGGGGGTTCACTTGCATAAACAGAAGAGGAGGAGGAAGAAGGGGAAGGGGAAAAGGAAGAGTTAGAGTTAGAGAGTTAGGGAGTTAGAGTGTTAGAGTTAGAGGAAGAAAGTGAGGCTCTCAGCTATCACTTACCAGTGGCTCAAGGGAAAAAGCATCATTGGAGAATAGCATGGGATCTTCTTTCACCATCATCATCTTCTCCCGGACGCTGCTCTTCAGGATGGCGCGGCGATCTTCACAGGAACCCTTCTTCTTCGCTCTTCTTCTCTCTCCCGTCGTGTTGTCCACGCAGGCCTCTCTCGGTGATCGCAGCAAGTAACACTGCCTGCAGCCACAGGGACAGACAAAGCCAGCAGATGGTTCAATGAGCCCGAGATTTGCAGAGAGAAGTGGAAGTGCAGGAGAGCAAAGCACCTGGGGAGGAGCAGCAGCAGCTCCCAGCAAGGGCTGACCCCAAGCCATGGCAGTCCCAAGTGGATCAGAGCATAACTTGTTCACTGGTACAACAGGTAGTTTTACAGCACACTTGCACACACAGGAGAGGTTTGGAAAGCCAGCATCCCTTAAGAGAACCTCCGGCCTCAAAGCCTCTGCCAAAACTGAGGGACAATCCAGCAGCCACCTCAACTGGCTTTTCCTACCACTGAGATGCTCAGGGGAGGAGATAAAGATCATGGAGCAGGACTTCCCTGGGAAGGGGAGATGAAGCTGGGTCACAGCTCTGTGTTACCAGCATCACTCTTGGTTTCTTCTCTTTGGGACCTGCCCTGTTCCCTGCTCTGCCTTTCTCAAGAGCATCCCAGAGCACTTCCAAAGGAAAAGGATGAATTCAGGCACTGCATCCCTTCAATGACATTCAAGGTTTTATATGCATGAAAACAGAGGCTCTGAGAAGGGAAGGGACTTGGTTGTGCAGGAGGGGGGCAGCAAACTCCTGGAGAGACCTTTTTGTGATCCAGAGCTTTATGGGTCCCATCCCAGTGCATGGTAGTAGAATCCTGTAGTAGTCCTGAGAGGAAAAGGATCCTACACTATCTCCTCTCATAAAAAAAAGTCTTCTCTGCTCCAAGACCTCAAAAGCTTCTCTGACAGCAGGACAGTGGCCTTGGAGCTAAAACCATCCCTAGGACTGGAAATAAGGAAGAATGAAATGTCATGGTGACAGTCTAGGACTGTCATAAAAATGGTGTGAAAACAGATGCTTTTGGAAAAAAACCCATGAAACCAAAACCAGGCTGAAGTTTCCTTTGGGGAAACCTTGTTGCTTCTGAGGGGAAAGTGGATCACCTGGGGTCCAGGCTGAGGCAGGCAAGTGGGAAAAATGGAAATAAACAGCCCAGGGAAGCAGCCAGAGAAGGTCACAGGATTTTCTTTTAACACACAGAGCTTGTATGAAAGTCAGACATCGTGTAAGCAGATAGAGAACAGTGGAAAACCAAGAAGCCCAGGGCACTAAAGGACCCTCTTGCCAGCCATTCAAGTGGGCCAGTGTTCATCTCCTGGTCCTTTGCAGGCAGCTTAAAATGGCTCTGAGGAGTGCAAATGACCTGGCCCACAGCAAGCAGGGGCTTTCCAGGGCAGTTTTGGCAGGGCAGTTCTGGCAGGGCAGTTTGCACAAGCAGGCTGAGCAGAAAGGATGCAGCCACCCACCCTCCTTCTGTAGTGGGTTGTGTCTTTTGGCTGGTTGTGAGGTGCTTGCCTTTTATTTTCTTTTTGCTTTCTTCCCTTTTTTTCCCCCCCAGCAATGGTTTACAAATGACCAAAAGCCATTGCTGCTGCTGCCCCGTTAGAACTTGAGGAAATCCAGTCATTGCCATCAACCTTTCCTTCCCAAAATGCCATCCCTGGCTGGGGTATAAATGGAACTGGAATGTCAAGTGCTGAGCTCCTGAAGCCCAGGGACACACCCCCTAATGCCAGGGATGCTTTACTTGGCCTGAGCCATTCCAAAGCACCAACACCCTCCTGAGGCCGTACGTTAGTTTTAGTCTTGGCCCATGGATCTCACTGAAATGCATCTTTCAAACCAACCTCCTCTTCTCTTCATTCTCATCTTCCTCACTAGGAAAAGTCTTCCACTGGAACTGGGCTCTGATGTTACTCCTGTTCTCGATGAACATTGCTGTGTGGCTTGACGTGGTGATGAAAGTCTTCTTCAGCTCCACGGAATACGTCCTCAACCCGATGCTGACATCTACAGCTTCTCCCTGAAGGTTTGTGTGGATCCTTTCTTCACCTGGAACAAAGCAAAGGGGAGCCTTTGCTCAGCTCAGTTGCTGATGAAAGCCCAAGGAACAGAGCAAACCACAGGTGACAGAAGAAAGGGTCACAGCTTTTAGCTCTATTTGCAGTTCTAGGGGTCAGCACATTTATAACGTCCTGACAGCTGTGTGTGTGCAGCGTGAGGGTGTCCTGGGCACCTCCTAAAACAGCTCATTTTGGAGTGTGTTTGTGGAGATTTGGCCCCAAGGTACAGTGAGGTTTGTCAGGTGTGCTCAGGTGACCCACTCAGATCACCAGGATTTCTGCATCCAAGTCCTTCAGGTGATGCTGAGGAGCCCTGTTCAGTCCTGGCTTGCCTGGGGTTTCCCCTGGGCATCCCATGAGATTCCTGTCTCTCCTGATCCCTTGGATCCCTTGCTGCTGACAAGCAAATCCACCTGGGGGCATGTGAGCAGAAAAAGGAGGCCCAGAGGAACAAGTGAGGTGAAGCCCACAGCAGGAGGGGACCCAGGTGAGGAAACACAACCAGCCTGGCTCTGCAATATGACAAACCACTACAAAATGAACACCATGAAAATCATCATCATCATCATCATCAGCTCCCTGTCCAAACACACAGCCACATCAGTCTTGAAATATTTGATATTGTTCTGATCTCAAAAACCAAACTGGAGCATTTCAAATTGAATAAAAAAGGGACCAAGGAAAGATCAGTAAGTACAGAGCAGCTTCCACATGAAGCCTGAATGGGATTCCTCAGTCAAGAAATCAAATGGGAGATAGATGTGAGAGGTGTGCAACAGCATGAATGGCCTGGGAAATGGGGACAAGGAAAAAATTGTCTTGATTTGTCACCAAAAAGTACTTGAGGATTTGAAAATGTTATTGGACAGAAACTATATATATGTGTAGAGGGCAACACAGTACAAGGGTCTATGACAAGCCAGTGGAGCAGCAGCCTATGGGACAGAGGTGTGCAAGAAATACACTGCATTGGAGAGAGTCTGATGGAGACCTCACACCTCACACACAGCACTGGCCAGAATAAAACAAAACTTCAGCCAGGCATAGCCACGTGGCAGTGGAGAATCAGGGCTCCTCCTTCCTCCACTCAGCAACTCTCAGCAAAACAGGAGCCCAAAAATCTTAGTCCTGTTAGAGGGGATGCACTTTATCAGCCCCCTAAGCACCAACTGGTTCTGAGTTTTCTTTGGGGTTGAGCTGGAACAGGGGAGGTACATCTAGAGGGAATTGAGGTGGCTGGCACAACAGGGAGTGGTGCTGGAGAAGTGTCCTGTGCCCCGTGCAGTGCCCAGCACTCACCTGTGTTGTAGCACACCACCATGGACCCAAAATGGGCACCAGTGGTCAGCGGGTGAAATCCCACTGTCACCTGCACGCTGTCACCAGCACCCAGAGCTCCCATGGCCGGAACCACGGAGAAAGGACTGCAACACAAAGAGAGAGATCAGGACTCAGGGGACATCTGGGGATGATATTCCTTCTGCAGTGCAGGTCACTTCGGCTCCCTTGGGCAAGCAGGGAGCACAGAAACCTCAGGCAACAGAAAAGAGACAAAACAGGATCAGAAACAGCTGCTGACCCACTTCTGAGGGGATACAGACCTCAGGAGATCCCGTGGGATAAAATGACCTCATCTGCCCCATACTCTGCATCCAGCTCTCTGCAATGAGACCCAAGGATCCCACTGCCAGCAATCCCATCAGAGAATGGTTTGTGAAACCACTGAGAGCATTAAGAGCTGTCTGCATGCACAACTTGACACTGACTGCCTCAGGAATTTCTCTTGTCCTGCTGCCTATCAACCTCATCTCCAGAGATGCAAATGTTAGGCCACTACCTGTCCTGTGAGATTACAGCCTAGGAATCAGACAGGGAGAAGGAACTTTTCCTTGAAGACCAAGAAATAATTACTGTTGAATTTGCAGCGTGGCTCTTTGGTTTATTTTTATAATTATAAAATAATATTTTATTATTTTATTTAATATCCCGATTTAGCCTATAAAGGGCACATTTTATCAGCATTTCAATGAAAGCTGCTCTAAGAAAAGGAGCAGTCAAAACTCTGGAAGAGTGTAAATGCAGATGAGAGCAATACAGAGACATGGAAACAAGACCCAAAGGGAGGATGCCATTTACAATCTGAAGGATCCAAGCCCAGCTAAATGAAGCACCATTAGCAGGGCAGCTCATGAGAGGAGCACTGGGCAGCCACGTGCCTGTGGCCTCCCAGAGAATGGGGCTATTTGGCTGACTCTGGTAACCATTTCAGAAGCTGCTGGTGCTCAGGAGGGTGCAAGGCAGCTCCTCACATGTTCCAGCACCCTCCAAGAAATGTGGGACAGAGAAAGCTCAAAGGCTGCATCCTGCTAGGAGCACTGAAAGCAAGAGCAGATGCCATCCATCCTGCTCACTTCCAGCCAGAGCTGCAGTGCAGCCCTGATGCTCAGCTTCCTTTTGTTGCTCTTTGCCAAGCCTATTATCACCCAAAGGTGTTTTGCACAAGGACAGAGGAGCTGCCTCACCTCTGGGTGCTGATGTAGTAATGAGCCTCCAGGTTGCCAGTGTTGCGAAGCAGCAGAGTCTTCTTGGTGCTGCTCTTGACCGGACACTCCGAGAAGTTCAGCTGGTCTGGGATGGTCAGGATAGCTCGGGCAGCAATGGCCCGAATTGGCACAACTATCCTTTCTGTTTTAGTGATGCAGACCAGCTCATGGGAATAATCCTGCAGGAAAAGAAACTAGCTCAGCATGGGGCATTTAGTGCCATTCCCATGGCAGAAGAAAACAATGGCCTAGAACCCTTCAAGGGCATCTATTCTATTCTATTCTA